ACCGCTGAGTGAGCCGTGCACGTGACCGTGGCAGTGAAGTGGCTAGTAATATCTTTAAAAAATTCTTTAGCGGTCTTATTTAATTGACTTTAAATAATACATATAATACTATATATGTATAGTATAATATATATACTACTATATATGTCAAGTAAAACAGTACAGGCCCAGTCGTCCCTGTCATGAGGTAGTGCGTGCGCCGCATGGCAGCCGAACTACCTTCCTAGGCCGGTTTAATAACCATAGCGATTCCAGGTGCTTACGCAGTCGCGTTACTGCTGTCTAGTTGCCTCGCGCTATATATTAGTATACTATAGTATATATACGGCTATACTACTATGATATATTATTCGCTATTATACTATATATATATATATGCCTACTACCAGACACGCGCCGATTACAGTCATTTTACCTGCCTTAAAACCTTATACATGAGTAATTAGACTACACGCAATGCCCCATGACGAATACCTTGAACAGTGCATTCCCTGCCATAGCCACATGGGTTCCACCATCCCTTACCTCGTCGTATGTAGTTAATATGCTTCCACATGGTCTGCGACCGGCTTCGCTCTGAAAAACACATACATATAAAGGCGCTATCATTGCTAACAAGACTTTACCTCCTCGCGGTTTTGTCTCTCAAGTAGTTATATCTGTATAATGATGCTATCCGCCGTGTATTGCGCTCTGCTCTGCCTGTCGGCGCCTGACTCTGTCAGTCTCTCTTTCTATTCTTGCTTCTCTCTCTCTCTCTCTCTCTCTCTCTCTCTCTCTCTTCTCTCTTCTCTTCGTCTCTCCTCTCCTCTCTCTCTCTCTCTCTCTCTCTCTCTCTCTCTCTCTCTCTCTCTCTCTCCCTCTCTCCATTATCTCCCTATCTTTCTCACCAACATGCTCTCTCTCTTTTCCCTCAGCAATAAATGTTGAGTTGTGTTTATATAGCGTTTTAGGTTGTCATGCACTTAGTCTAATCAATAACTAATGTTGCAGGTTGTGTGCTGATGGAAAATGTCATGCGTAGCCGATTCTAAGTTTACTAATGAAAGCTGACGCTGTTACGCGCCCGCATGTAAATACCGGCTGATGACTTTCTCTGAATTTTCGACTGACACACACCGCCGACGCAAGCACTCACGCACGTACGCATGCACTCACGCACGCACGCGCGCGCGCGCGCACACACAAACACACACTATCTATCTCTCTTTCTCTTTCTTTCTCTCTTTCTCTCTCTTTCTCTCTCTTTTTCTCTCT